AGCTATGTGTTCCTAAGTCGAGAGTGAACAGGACGTGTGCATTTTTTGTTTTTGCTTGTTTTCCAAGCCGCAACGAGTGCCTCATGTGGTGCACGAGGTATTGAGAGTGTTGCTTATTGCGATTGCCTTCGACAGGCTTAAGCAATTGCTCCTTGATGTGCATCATGGGGCACCTTTGCGATTGCTAAAGAGTGGCATGATGTGATTTTTTAATTTTTGTGGTTGAGTAGTTATTGCATAGTCTCTCAATTGTTTCTATTTCCTGATTTTGCAATAAAGAGGTGTTGTGTTTATTAGGTATGATTTTCTTCTAAAAATGCTTTATAGAAATGGAAGTTCATTTACAGCAAAAGTTTCTATTAATGCAACATTGAGAATGAACACAATATATGGACAGGAAATAAATGCACCTGAATTCGAAGAAAAATTTCTTTGAGATGGGAACCCTAATTATGAAATGTAAATAAGCAACATTTGCATGCTTCTTTTGAGCGCAGTTTTCTTTATTTGCAATCTTTGCACAGCCATTGGCCTCGTGGTGCTTCTTTCCATTTGCACTCTTTGGTGCTTTCCTCATGCGAATGCTTGCAAAGTGGTAGCATTTTCGTTTGCATTGTGGATTATCCCACATTACCATCTTGCCATACCCTGGCCCATTACAGAGACAGTAGATGTCCTCATTTCCCTCGTTCTCGTTTGTTTGGTGTTGTACAGGCTGTGATGTATACCTGTATCGCAGCTCTGGCAACAGTACACGCTTGAAGAAGTGTGAGCTCTTCAGCAACATTCTGGCACAAAGATCATTTTGTAGAAAGATTCTTGCAATAGAGATCACCTTTGTCGTCCAGACAACGTAGTCTGAACACTGCACGTGGCACACAAACATCTGCATTTGTATTTTCCGAAAATGTGCATATTTTTGTTTTAGTGGAAGGGCACCTCCATCAGGCAGAGTGATACTGCTGCTGTTCAAGGAAGTGAGCTCCATGATAGTGCACTCTCGCAGGCTATACGGGCACTTCACCTCAAGTACGCCTGCACCACAGCAATTTCAACTCACAACTCCATCAGGTGTAGCTGCCAGGAACTGGTGATCGAAGCTGATGTGGATGACTGAATCGCAACACTTGAAATTTGAATGCCGACTAGTCATTGCTTCGACTTATTGTGCTCTTGCACGAAATTCATTGTCGATGCCCCAAGTTGTCGCTACTGTGGTCAAGATGTGTTGACTAGGATAACATATAATAATAATTCGTTTATTCCTATCTACATTGATGGTGGAGCTCGAGGGAAAAGCTGTGAAATACAGCTTGACAAGGCCCTCGGCCCCTACATAGGCACAACAGCAGAAGTACAGGAAAAAATGCTACTTCATTCGAAAGTACAAAACGGGTGGATAATATACGCACACAACGAACAAATAAAAAAATATTGAATAATCCTGGAAATATTAAAAAAACCGCCAGATCACTGGCATCACTGGCATTTTACCTATCTAGGCCTACAAAATATTCCCTAAGTTACTTATATGACATCCTAATCATCTGAGAGCCGCAATGTGTCGTCCGCGCTACCATTTCCCAATGTTCTGCGTGACGAGTGGGGTAAACCGGTTCCTTTACCGATATATGTCCCAGATTCGTAAGAAAACGTGTGTTTCTGTAGCTTTCCAGTTTGAATGTATTGCTAAGTCAATAGTTGTATAAATTATATATATTAATAACGCGGAGAGCCGTAAACAGACCAGCTGTATCAGAGTCAAACGGGACGCTACCGATAGACCTCGACACCCTTTTTTTTTTTAATAAAAGTAGTTTCTCAAGATTCAATAATGTAGCTGAGCCCCAGACGGAGATGGCAGTATTTTAAGTGGAAATGAAACAGTGTCTTATAGATTAGTAACTTCACATTCTTTTGGCAAAATTGATCAATGACGCTATATAAATCCAGCTATTCATGACAGTTTAGGGATTCTAAAATTATTGTGATTGTCCCAGGACATATTTTCAGAAGAAATTACTCCCACTGCCCCGAAATGGCTCGGAATCTCAATTGAAGTTGAATTTAGAGTGACATCTCGCGTTAGTCTGACCGATCTCCCTTTGGTGTAAAAAGTACGGCTTTCGTTTTGTTTATATTTATTTGTAAAGAGTTCTCCCGACTCCAAATTTCCAGTTTGGACAACGATTTGCGGTGTCTACTAGCACATCGGAGTCCTCTCCCAAAATAAATATTGTTGTATCGTCGGTATAGTTTACGAATTTTATATTTGGGTTAATGTTTACGACGTCATTTACACATAGGTTAAAAAGGAGGGGACCTAACGTACTGGCCTGAGGAACACCACAAATATTGGTTTCATTGAGGAAGAGTTCCTATTTAGACAAACATACTGGGCTCGATGCTCCAGGTAAGACTTAAAAATCTGTAACGGGTGTCCCCGAATGCCATAAATGTTAATTGTTTTAGTACAATTTCGTGATCAAGGCAATCAAACGCTTTCGTAAAATCCACAAGAACTCCCAAAAACATTTTTCTTTCTTCAAAACTTTGCAAGATAAACTCTTTCTGCACAAGTAAAACGGCCTCCGTTGAACGATGCTTCCTAAAACCAAATTGCGAATCTGTAATCAGTTTGTATTTATTTAGGAAGTTTGTCTGCACCAGGCTTGGTGAGGGGTCTTCGATTGATGTGGAGCAGGCCGCTTTCGCCTATGATGCAGTCATCGATAAGGTGGAGAACCTCCACAAAAAGAGAAAAATTAGGAAAACGTCGCTAATAACACATTCCCACGGATCATGCTTGTTCAACTCTGATGTCGCTTGCCAACTTGACGCATTCTTCGGAGACTTCTTCCCGTGATGGTGCTACACAGTCCCTGAACAAAGTGCACAGAAGTGCGGACTTTTACTTCGCGGCTGTCGGTACGTAGGACTCTGCATAACCATCAACAAGCGAAAGGAAAGCTGGCCTTAATTTTGATGCTTGAGCCTCATCTAAAAACTTGTTTCACTGTTCCTCGGTTGGTCTCAATGGGGCCGGTCTCTGTTGGCGGAGTGCTACAGTTCTTGGTGGCTTTCCCTCATCCATTTGCCTTTTCTGAACTACTGCAGACGAGAAGTCAACTTTCACTATCGGAACGCATGTCAGGTTCTTGCAGTATGCTGGAAGCCACTCATTGTCTTGTTCAGTGCAAGTTAGCAGCTCTCTGTGCTTCACCGCCGCCTTGAAGGTAGAACAGGATTGCACCAATAGGAGAGCACGTCCTCCCCGAGACCAGCCATACAGGTACAATGGGCAACAACAACTTCACTGTCCAGCTTCACTATCCATGGCTGCAGGCAAGCTTCCCTTGTACTTTGAGAGTGGCTCATCTACAAAGTACTGAAGAGAAAGATTTTACTACATTTAGCAACCCTTAACATAGATACTGCATGCAGATGTTCTGATGTGCAACGAGTGGCTCCCGGTGTACCGGTCGAACCTACTCGCGCATCTGAAAGTCTGCTTACGTGCACAAAACTAGCCGCCGCCGCCTCCGCCGCCCTTTTTGTCCTTTTCCCCCCCTCCCCACCAACTTTGTTTTACGGAATGCCCAACCCTAGTGAAAAAGATATTTGTATGAGAAATTTCTTGTGTTTTATAAACACATATGAATCATGCAAGATATATAAGAACACAAGAACCATATGAACTACATAAAAACTATATAAGATGTACAAGAAAATAGAAGCATGAAATAAACTTGTAAGAAACTTCTTACGTGCTTTTTATATGGTTATTTTATGTTTTTATATAGTTCTTATATGGCTCTTGTATGGTTCTTATCTGTTCTTATATATTTTGTATGATTCATATGTGTTTATTGGACACAAACATTTCTCATACAAATGATACTTTTCATTAGGGGAGTCACCCTACAACCTCCAGTGAACCCCTGACAGATCTTCTAGAACAACCCGGAACAGGCAAGTTAGTTAAGGTTAGATTGCCAATCACGACAACATCGCTGCTTAGAAGGACTTACTGTTGCGGCTCTTGAATTCAGCCAATCGTAAAATAGTGGTGCGATTCTAGTGATTTGTGGGCCTTGAACTGCTCCCGCGTAATAAAGCTTGACTTGCCGACAAAATAATCCTTCAACCCACTATTCTACTTTGGATAAGCGCTTGTATCGGTCACGGTCTCGTCAACTGACAACGATAGTGGATCTTTGCCGCCGCACATTAACACTTTCTCCTCGTAGCGCGATCGCACCGACGCCGACAACTTCTGCGCTTACTCGCTCAACAATATAGTAGATTCGCGTGAACACGTTGTTTCAACTTGGCATGTCGAAAATTACGTACCTTTGTTGAAAAGGCGACTCATTTCTGCACATGCGCGGGCCGCGAGCGGTGCGCAAGGCCGTGCCGTGGGCATACGCGCGGTGCAGTCTGCGAGCCTTGGCATTCCCATGGCTCTCGCAATGGAAGATAACACAAAAAGGGTAAGCATCCTCAATAGGCAAATGAAGTAAAAACTTCATAAAAAAAAACGACGAACTCCCAATGCACAATGCAGGTGGGAAGTCGTGCTGACAGAGGTCCCACAGCTCAGGCAAGTGAAATAAATTTCTGGCTGATGGGGGTTGCTCGAGTTGCAAAATGGCGGCAGTTAGAAAGCTCTTTTTGCAAAGCTCTTTAGTCACAGACAAAATAAAAACGGCAGGGCATCTTTTCGAACGTCTGGGAAGATAGGAAGCTCGCACTGGAGCGGAGCCACTGAAAAAAAAACCTGCCGTTCTTATTCTGCCAGTAACAATAAATGTTATTGATTTGACCACCATATATTAGTACCACATAGGTACCAAGCAAATTTCAGATCAGTGAGGACACCAGTTGTCTTTGGCGTGTCGCGATTGCTCGGACATCTTTATTACTTGGAACGTTTTGTTGCAAATTCATTTGACGACCAAAGGCAGCCTCAAGCGAGTTTCCGAGTGTGGAAAACGCCACACATTACCTTATTTTTGATGCGATGTTGAGGTTAAGCGGGCTTTTTAGTTGAGAATCCCTTGAATCCAGTCTAGGTGGCCGGTGATCCTGGTGTAAATATCCGGATGTGTTGTATAGCCGCAGGGATATCCAAAGGAGGCCAGGCCCAGCAGGTAGTATCGACCATCAAGACGATGCAGCAGTGGTCCGCCAACGCTAATCTGATTTCAGAAGAAGGAAGAAAGGAAGCATGACAATGAAAACCGCAAGGCTATAACCTAGTATGTGCTTCGGCGCCCTACCTACTATAAAAATGGGCACGTTTCATTCGCCGCAGGCACTCGATACCAAACGCGCTTTTACGATCTTTACGACAACAAAAGATCAATTGGCAAAAGCAAACGACAGGAAAAGATAATTACTAGATCAAAACAAAGGCAAAATTAAGAAATAAAGCTGCTCGGGAGGTCACGGAATTATCTTTATCACGTGACTGCCCCCAACCTCCCCAAAATGGTACGGTTACGAAGGCTCAACTACGACAGTCTGCTACGAGTGCCCATGAGGTAGCGCAGGTGTCGAACGCAACTACGGCGCCCGGCATTTGGCGTTCGCGCTCGAACGGGTTCGACGAGTGCACCGGAGACAAAGGCAGACAGCTTTCTGTCTAATCATTCCAAGCAGAGCTCGGTGTTCTGACGTCCCGCGACCTCTCATTTCATCCTCTCCCTCTGTCTCTGCCCTCATATAGACCGTTTTACTGAAAGAGGGCGGGAGAGAAAAGGGGAAAGGGCTACCATAGCTTTCCCCCTTGCTAATTGTGTAGAAAGAGTGAAAGTCCCCGGGGATGAGAGGCTTGGCCGATGTTGGGTGTCTGCTGTGCCCCCCAACTTCGTTCGCGCTTTCTTTTTTGTTTTGAACTCGCAAACTTAATTAGAGTAACGGGCTTCGATGGCAACAGTTCCCCGGTCATCGGGACACCATTGTTCGGTCATAGGGTGCACGAATGACAACAGAAAGCGTCGAATACTGTCCGAGGACCTATGTAGCTTGCAAAAAATCCGGCAAGGCGAGAGCGGCTGCAATGTCTTTAAGCTCCATCGCTTTCCACATGACCCCGGTCTTGGCGGCAGTGGGTTGCGTCCGTAAACCGAAAAGACATTTCCTCAACACCATTTTCTCGAATGTGCTCGGAACAGCTTGTGAATGGAGCGCGCACCGAACGCTGCACCGCCGATGAACATGGGGTACGCTCGCAACGTGCGTGCCAGTTTTCTCGTGATAATTGCTGTTTCAGCTTGTAAAATTTTGTAACTGAATTTATCTTAATATTGATAATTTGCAGTGGTGACTGACTCGATTTCATCATTTACAACACTTTGATTCATTTCATTTCATTTCCTTTATTTACTCTCAAGGCCGAAGCATTACAGAGAGGAGTGGTGAAGAAAAAAAAATACAACATGAACATAAACACAGCAGGGAAATTACAAAAAATGGTTGCAAATGGCACTTTTGAAACGGTCGGTGTCAGTGATTGAAGCGATGGAGGCGGGGAGTTGGTTCCAGTCTGTGCAGGTTTTGGGAATGAACGAGTGAATTGGTGCGGCTGCTTGGGACGCCAACCTTGAACTGATGGTCGCTGCGGGAAGAAATGTACGATGGTGGCAGAAAGAGAGAGTCACTGAGTAGAGAATTGAAATGGTGAACCTTATGAAAGAGACAAAGACGAGATAGTTTACGACGCAATGAAAGATCGGGTAACTTAAGATCAGATTTCATGGAAGTGACACTGGCAGTTCGAAAGTAATTTGAGAAGATGAAACGCGCGGAACGGTTTTGAATGGCTTCTATTTGAAGAATAATGGAGTTAATATGAGAGTCCCAGATTGATGATGCATATTCAAGCTTCAAGTTGAAGGCTTATTTCCGCCGCCGGGTGAGGCTAGAAATTGTTGAAAAGGTAGTTCTATCGGTTTTCCTGAATAGCGATCCCCTGCGCGACACCAGAGAGCCGGCAAAACCGCTCCTTGGAGTGCCACTGGTGGGTTTTTGGGTTGTTTCCGTTGATTTGGCGCTTTGAAGCGCTGGATAGTCGCTCCAGGGTACGACTCGTGTGTTGCGATCTGCGTCTTCGAGCCCAGTGTGTACGTTTCTTTGTTCGAGTCATGGCATCCGCCAGTGCGGCAACGGGGGGAACAGTGGCAGCGAACGTGTCAGTGATAGAAATTGGAGGTTAGTACTCAAAATGTTGCATCAAATAGTAAAATAAGTCGTGGCTGCTTTGACGCTTTCTGCGGTTCGATATAAGCACATCTAGAACGTCTTCGTCGTTCCTTCACAATGAAATATGAGAACACGGACACGCAAGATAAAAGCAGCGCAGCAAAACGATATGTAGCAGCTGCGGGTGTTTACAAAAGTTAATTGAGGTTCCCATTCCGTGTATCGCTTGTTCATTACTAAAAACGGCTGCGTTGAAATGAGCCTATTGCAAGCAAAAATTTATGAATGCTTCATCATTTCCAGTCACGCGGAAAGCGGTGGAGCTTCAAAATATTGCAGCCGCACGTGCCTTGCCGAATTCCATGCAAGCTACTAGATCCTTGGGCAGTATTCGACGCTTTCTGTCGTTATTCGTGCACCCTATGACCGAGCAATGGTGTCCCGATGACCGGGGCACTGTTGCCATCGAAGCCCGTGGCTCTAATTAGGTTTGCGAGTCTAAAACAGAAAAGAAAGCCCGAAAGAAGTAGGGGCACAGCAGACACCCAACACCGGCCAAGCCTCTCATCCGGGACTTTTACTCTTTCTACACAATCAGAAAGGGGGAAAGCGCCGGTAGTCCTTTCCCCTTTTCTCTCTCGCTCTCAAAATGGCGCTACTCACGATAAAACGGTCTATATGTAAAACAAATGCAGTCTCAACCCGGGCGTCGAATCGATACCGCACCAAACCGAAAACCGGAAACGAACCGTTATTTTTAGTCGAACCGCGAGTGAACCGAACCAAAATTGTCGACGTCATCTTGGAACTGAGCAGGAAATAAATTAAACGGTAACCTGTTCAAAATTATTCACGATTATTTTTCTTTCTTTATTACCGGAACTTGAATACTTGAGCATAAAAAATTGGCAGCTGTATTTTTATGTTATTGTTCGAATCGTCACATACCGAGTTGCTATGTGTGAGAGATTGTGAAATTTAATGGCGTTTTTGTATTGGCGCAGGACAATCGTGTGACGTCACGTGTCACGTGGTATCGTGCGACGTGGTCACCTGACGTCACAAGGCCGAGACCAGCTCTCAAGTGGCGTGACGTCACGTGGCTCCGGGATGTCACGCGACGTGGTCACGTGACTCACTGCGTCAAGTCGGGGTATTACGTGACGCCTTGACGTCAAGCTACGTCAGAACTTCATTAGATCCAAAACCGCTGTTGACCCCGCGACGTCACGTGACATCACAGATTCACACCATGAGTCATATGACACAATGACGTACTCGATGGTCATGAGGCCGAGTCCAGTGCTCGGGCTAATGACAATAAAAGCCTCGGCAAACAAATAGGTAGTGTCACGCGCTATCAACCAAAGATGAGGATAGCCGTACTTTAACAATGGCAGGAGCTTAATCCATGCCATAGGCCTATATGCGTACGGTGACTATAAACTATAGCATAGAGAACGAGGCACCCCTGGGCGGGGGGGGGGGGGGGGGGGGGGGGGGGGGGAGCGAGCTGGAGCGGGGAGCGGGGCCGAAGAAGAAAAGCAAAAACAAGATCTGGTACTATTCAGTTCACTGTAAAAATGCACACGTTTTCGAAGTTATTTTTTGAGTACAAAAGCCAGTTTGTTCCTAAAAAAAAAAAAGAAAGCCAAAGCATGCCAAATATGGAAAACTGCTCCGAACAAATGGATGTGTTAGCAGGACGTATTGACAGATGCGAGTCTTGAACGTGCGTACTATTTCGATAGGGGAAGAATGAAGAATTATATCACTGGGAACGTTAACATCCCTGTTTTGGGGGGCTTAAAAACGTGACTTTTGTTTTCATTTTGTTTACTAAATGGTTGTTTGAAGTAGACAAACTTTCTAGCTTTCTAAGAATTACATTGCTATGTCCATATTTTCAGCGGATAAAAATGTACTTGTGTCTCCAGCGTAATAATACATTTTGCCGGCTGTGAAATGTTAACGATGTCGTTTATATATAGGTTAGAGGAGCTGTGCAACAGTTTCAGTGCTTTGCTTAAATAATTTGGGAGTTGGTGTCTCGACCTTTCTGAAGTAAAGAACAAAAAAAAAACGCTTTTGCCGGCATGTCCTAGTTTTAATTTAAAAATGGACAAAGATTAAGCTTTTCGGCACCTCTCAACACCTTCACCATCTTCCGAGTCTCGAGCGCTGTGACGTCAATGGGGGGTCGCGCTCGGTTCCGGTAAAGCTCTCTCTCTAGAGCCATCCGTGAGCAGCGAGAACTCATCCGCTCGCGACCGCGTGACCACGTGCTGGCGAGCGCAGCGCGAACAATATGGTGCAAGGATGAAAGTGTCATCCGGGTCCGGTTATAGACCTTTTTCGCATAACCTCAAACCAGCCAGTAACTGACGTACCCTCGACCTGGTGCATTTTTAGATTGCCCGCTGACACAGGGTATGCAACCGCCAAGGATATGGGCGAAAAGGCTTAAAAACGGACGTCGTGCATGAGTTAGTTTCGAGTGCTCCTTTTTACTGTGCTGCAATTTCAGAATATCTATGGTTGTCTGGCTACCACTGCGTGGTCGTCGGATGAATAAATAATTTCAAAAGGCATAAGAACAATAGCAGAAAGTGTGCCATGAGCACAAGAAGCTGCAGCGCGAGTGTGGCTACAATGTTATCGAGCTTCGCATTTTCCCAAAGAATCCTTATTTATGAAATCAGTCGATTGCGAGATTGAATCGCGAGAGATTCGTATCAGACTGAACGTCACGCTTAAGCTCACGACCACTTGGTCTACGACAAGAGGACAGATTTTAATTCCCGGTGCAGGTGGTCCAATTAGGTTATCACTGCAAGCCCCATGGTATGTGAAAGGTATGAAAAACTCTACATGCCATCACTGAAGATGGAGCTATCAAATGTCGAGAGCTTACCTACATATATATTGACTACATTAAATTGCTCATATATACTTCGCTGTGGAAGCTCAATCAAAACACCCCACCGTCTTCGTCCTGCTTCTCTCGAGGCGGCAAGGTGATGGCCTGTGAGTAGCCAGCTGTATTTAACCGGACAAGCTCCAACCAAGTTATTGCAGCCCACCATAGCCAAGCCTAGCCAAGTTCCCCCCATACCCACACCGTTGCCTACCCAGATAGCTGTGCTGCCAGAACTAGCCGGTATCTCTTTTTCTAAGCCGCTAGACGGCGTCGTCGGCGCCGCCGGCGCCGCAATTTTCAAGATGGCGGCGCCTTTAAAGAAAAGGTCTATTAGCCCCCGAGAAGTTCGCGTGGCGCCCCCTCACGGCGAACCGGGGTGACGTCACGGCGAGGAGAGAAGTTTTCCCCGACTCGACTCCGCTCGCCCTGTGGAGGCTGTGACGACGTTAGCTGACGGCGCGCTTGTTTCTATTTAATTTCTTTTTGGCATGTTTTTTGTAAGAAGTGTAAATTTTTATATGTGCCTTTATTGAGGTATGGCGTGTAGCTACAGACGAAACTTCAACCAACATTTGAAGCATGGTTCACAGGGCAGGCAACGCATGAATCACAGCTGGTATATGAAAATAAAGTAGATATGGCTACAATTGCAGGAGCATCATTATAGATTTACATCTCGGACAATAAATGCTGCTGAGAGTCTCAATGAATTAGCAGGTTATGTATACTATAATTTCTTGTATCTCTGTTTTTAAACAAGATCGCCGAAACAGAAAAGCTGCATGCTGCTCGAACAACATGCTAATTACAGTCTGGGCCATGGGGAGAGAATCATAAGTAAGGCAGCCCAAGTGCAGGGGCAAAGTAGAAAAACAAGGAACATATATTATATGCATTGCTCGCATTTGACCTTTGCTGGATTCGAATAGTATTCAAATGGACTACACGGGCGGTATCTGTGGACTTGTTTATATCAACCCTCAAGTAATGTATAACAAATGTAAGCGAAGGTGTCTAGCTCGTTATTAGTCCCTTAAGCCCTAAAATTGAGATTTTACTTAAATCGAATTGTCCTGAAGCTAAAATATCAGAAGCTTTTCTCACGCAGAGTGTCGCCCTTCACAGACTCCACATTTTCTGCCACTAGTGCTGCATCTACCACTAGACAGACGTTCGAATGCTTCCGTTTACTCCTGTTTTCCTCTGTTGTCAGAGAGCCCAGCCGTATTTTGAAGGCTGAGGAAGCCTTGGGGACCTGCAGCAGTGTCTCGTTTGATTGGAAATGACAATTTTTCCATACTAAATGGTGTATTTTCCGAATACCCAAGGCTGGAATAAAGAATGTCAGGAAAAAGTATAAACATTCCAAATTGCGGCACTATTGCTGTGCACATTTTGGGCAGTTCAATACATATCATATAGGCAACTGGGGGCAATTCAGCCGTTTTTGCTGCTACCACACAAACCAATTTCCAGTAGTTGTGCATCCTCTAAGAAATATGCTTTCACACGTGTATAAACTATATAATTAATTCACGAAGAAGCTACATTTATGTAAAACAACCCTGTTCCACGAGCACTTCAAGGATCATCAGACGCAGGGCCTTGAATACATCTGCGAACCAGCGCATGCAGAGTGGCAGCGCAGAGTCGAGGTTCATCGGCGGAATTGCCTCCGCCGATAGCTTTCGGGATTTGTAACCCAAGTTTAAAGGTAAAAGGGACAAGCAGGCTTATAAAATGTACGGAAGCACGTCAATATCGGCCTAACTCAACGTCTTGCACATCGGCTAAACGAAGTCCAGCTCTTCGAAGAGCTTGCGGCACACAACGCCAAACCAGGAAACCGGTGCTGGAATGCGAGCCGATGCGAGCTCGCGGAGCGGAGTCCTCCGCCTGACGTCACGGTACACCTCACCCAATCAGGGCGCGGCGACCGCAGCGACGCTTGTGTTCGCTCTCGGGGCTAATACCCGTCCGGCTCTGTCCCCCTCCCCCTCCGACCAGAAGCCGGAGGGGGACAGAGCTGTACGTGCTAAGGCGTGAGGTGAAGCATCGGCCCGTAGTGTTGCCAGATTGGGCTATATATAGCCAAATTGGGCTACTTTTTTTTTCTAGTTAGCATCGAAATTTCTAAGAATGCGGCGAACTTTTGCCGACCTCAGGTTCGACTAGTTCATTTTCGAACTTCTAATCAGTTTCGAAAAGAATTGTTGCTCTTCTGGCTATTTGAGAGGAGAGAGAGGAAGGAGAAAGGCTTCAAACTTTAACAAACTTCGGGGTTTTCACTACGCGTAGTGAAGCAATGCTTGCAGAGTTCAAGCGGTCTTCCCACAGCGCAGTACAGCAAACCAGATTGCACTATTACCACAGGGCCGGTAGCGCGTCTTCAACCCGGACGCATATGGCTCTGTCCGGACGTAGACTCAACTCTCCAAATACTGCTTTAGTGCCCCCTGTGAAAATCATTAGGCACTCAATCTGCTAAAGATGAGAAGTCCGCAGCTTCACCTCTAAACAATTGACTACCTTCTAGTCGTCACCCACCCTAAGAAAGGACAAGACAATCAGAAATAGCGTGAACCGGAATGGGGGCCACTCATATTCTACACAAAGAAAAAAAGACGGGTGGAATATTGGTAAGGATTATAGATATTGGGGTTCTAGTTTGAAACTCCTTGTGTTCTGACAGTTCTGCTGCTGTATTCTGTTTCTTTTTTATGATCACATGTTTCGTACTTCCCAATGAAGCCGTTTTGTGTGTTTCGCATTTTCGAAAACCTGCCAAAGAAGGGTCAGTGTTGTGCAAATATTCATCCTCCCAAAGCATTTTGTTTAGTGTACAGGTGACATAATATACGAAAGAATTGGCGTATTTCAGGGTTGAAAACGAGAATGTAACGTGTTTTGTATGTACAGGAAATATTTTCAATATGCGACTTAAAAATCATTGCTTTTAGTTTTGGCTATTTTGGCTATATCATTTTTACGGCTTTGGCTATATTTGGGCTATACCTTCACGCCGTTCGGTGGTTTTTTTGATGGGACCATATGGCAACACTGGCATTGGGCATGAACACCTCTTGGAGAGAAGCTGACAGGCATAGCACTGGCCATGCTGAACTTTTTCGCTACGTTCGGGAACGACCGCAACGACAGACCAATCACCGGTCGAGGAGAGCTCGGTCGCGCGCGTTGCATGCCGGTCGTGCCGGGCTCCTTCTATCTGCAAAGATATCGTCGGTGGTAATCGTCGACGTGGAAAGCGTGGTGGAAGCTCATCGATCCCCGTAAAAGCGCTATCCTTGACTGTGAATTTTCGCCGCGTGTCGTTATGATAACCCAGCACGTACTAGAAGAGAAGATCCACCTACTCGTGCGGCGATCTCGTGGCGGCACTCTCAAGAAAGCAGAAACACCCGTGCCGTCGTGTTTGTTTACTTCGACTACAGAGGTGCTTTCTTAGCATTTGTGTCCTCAAAAATCGCCCGGACTTCTTTTTTGGCACATTTCATGCGTGTGCTCAAGTTCAAAGTGTTACTGGTGCGTACCGTACATGGTGTAAGATAATGTACCGTATAAAGGGTGCGAATTTTCACGCGTTTTCATCACCCGAGAAAGGTGATTAGTGTTAGCAATCCTGAACGCTCGGAACGTCTATCTGATTACGAAGGCAAATTTCTGCGTTGCTATATTGCTGCTAAGATTACATCGACTTTCATAATCGTAGAAAAGGCGTGTGGCGAGATTTGTATTGTTGGCAAAGGCGTTAATTACAGTCGTGACCGTGGAAGACAGCGTACTGCATTTCTTTTAAATTTTTTTAACGCACTACCTTGCAAGCGTATCCTGGAAAATATAAATAAAGCTTGAGGTCATAGAAGACGGTCTGTCTATTTTCTGTTACGCAAGTGAGTGGCAGCGCGTCCCCTTCTTTATAGAGGCACCGCTGAAACAGCTGACGGCGGCGGAGAGGCGGTCGCCGTGCTGCCGACCCGCTACACTTGTTGCAGTGGTTGCAGGAGTACGCGCGGCGCAAAGCGAGAGCTCCGGTCGTTCCGGTCACAACGGACGACGTCGTGGATAACGGGTTTATTTCAGATGTCTGAACCAGCCTTTACACATCTATTGTGTATACACGTCGCGCACAGTTGTCGTTGAAGTCGCAGCGGTTGCATTCGTTCGTAAGCAAAGTGGTTGCTCCGAACGCAGGTGTGTGAACGGGCCTTTACCCACCACATCCTAGAAGGGAAGATACATCTACTCGTGCGCCGATGTTGTGGTGGCACCCTCAAGACATCAGAAACACTCGTGCCGTCGTCTTTGTTTAAAGTTATTTGGCAAAAGTAAAAAGGTCGTTTTATAGATCCTTTAAGCGCGAGCTTCGTACACTTTCGACAACGCATCAAAATCTCGAGCGCCTCGAGCGCGCGCGCGCAGCCGAAGCACGGGCGGAGGACATCGAGCGCGTGCTAGAGGCCGGGGGTTCGAACAGCACACCCTGCCGTTTTTACTCTCTCAGGGATCAGAGAAAACGATGTGAGAGGCTGCTAAGGCGTAGCTTACCGGACACGGGCCCGGCCCACTCCGCTGGTCTCCTGCGCACAGCTGGGTCTTCTGGTCAATTGCGAAGCTTCTGTACACCTCCTGGCACTCGGCATCTTCCCAGATGGTCACAAGGCCTACTTGCAACTGGTTTCTGCTTCGTTCGTCTGCGTCGCAAAATCAAAGACATTCCGCTAGAATTTACTATAATTGCCGGTATAGGGCTCCTATACATGCCTTGCATGTGACGTCACGCTAGAGAAGGACGGTGCGCTGCACCATGCTGGTGCGCGGATGCGCTTACCAAGGCGGAGGATGCGCTAACTGCCCGGACATGCACCGTATTTTCAACAAAGGTATCTAGCTTTGTTAAATGTGAACTTGGAAGAACGTGCGGTGTTTATGATGGTGACGTTTAGCCAGTACCTGCGAAATTTTGCGGCATTAGTGCGATTGCGCTACGAGCAGCAAGTTTCAATATGCCGCCGACAAAGTTTTAAAACAAAAAACTGTCATGTCTAAAAAAAAAGACTTCATTGCTTGCTTAAAATTTTGACAAACGGCTCTAGGAGTCACTCGTAGAAAAATTGGTATAATTGTGCGAAATACTGGTAAATAGCGCAATGTTACCGTCAAATCTATAAACCCCGAGAGAAGAATAACTAAAATAACGGACAAGACAAATCTCATTGTCTCAGGTTTTATATAACGATGTTTTCTAACCGGCTCGGCGTGCATACTTTCGCTTCTTGCAAAGGTTACCGTCTCGCGAACGGCAAAAACAGATGCCCCGGCGGCGGCGTCTCGGCGAGCTTGCACATGGGGTCCGCCGCGACCGATCGCCGTCTGGCCAAGCTCGCGGCTCGACACTCGCCCGTTTTCGGCCGGGAGCACCGTATAGGTGCGCTCGAAGCGTGAAAACAGCGTGATGTAACTAAAGGCAATGGGCATCTACACCAGGAACGGGCAAAAGCCGATGCAAAGGCGTGCGCGAACGTAAACAACGGTAGAAAAGTGCCGTCTCTCCGCTGTGAAATGCGTCCCGCAAACTCAGTAATCCGCGGCCGCGTTCCTTTCTTGCCTCTCGTACATTCTCTAACTTGACGGCTACTCTGTCTCGCTGGACATGCCGACAAAACGATCATCGGGATACGTATTAATTGTTACAACAGAGCGCGGCGCATTTTACCATTGCTCGCTGCGAAGGGCCGTCGAGTCAACCACCAGCATGGTGGTTACCGACGTTCGACGTCATCATGTTGCGTAGTGCCAGGCATTTATAGCTAGCTGTCACAGTATTTGTCGTCAAAGATAATCATATTACGTCCTAAATGTGCACGGAACTCCATAAAAGCATTTTTTAGTGTCCATATAAGACACGTATTCCCTATTTGCAAGAGTAATAGCGGCGCTTCTTATGAACAAGTCCCTAGCGTCTACTTGCCTACAGAACACAAATACACACAATCATTGCGTTTTGCATAACAAACACGCAGCGAATAACCAGGTCGAGAACACGATTCTCCGCTAAAATGCGATCTGAGCAGATAGCAATATCGAGCAAAGGCTTTATCTCCTGTCCAGTAAATCGATTCTAGTTTTCTGCTGATCGCGGTGATTCACTATTCCTGTGCTGTACGAGAAAGTAGACCTACAGGATTTTTTCATAAACAACGTGGCTATTAAAAAAGAATGTATAAAATTACCTTCCTCCGAAAAAAAACGATTTGCGCAATATTAATGCCGCGTTATGAAATTTAATCAGGGTACGCCCAGTCTTTTATTGTACACGTTACTCAAAAAAGCGATCGATAACAATTACAACTACTCTCGCTTAAAAAGTATTCAATTAGATTATTCTATTCATTGCGAAGAAAAGTAATTGGAAAAGTCGGCGTTACGTTTTCGATGACTTCGGATTTTCAAAACGACAAATTTTTCTGATGCTAATGGAAATAATGCAAAGCTGCAAACAGTTGGACAAGAATGACCATAATATTACCTTGAGAAGGAGATACGGGGGACAAAAGTGGGGAAGCACAAATATCCACACACAGCTACTGGTGCGCGACCGAAAAAATCCGCCTGGTCCTGGTATCGAACCAGTGACCTGTCCATTTCCAGTGGAGCGCTTTACTAACTGAGCTAACCATTTTGTTCAAACACCTGAGACTGGGTGAGAAATTTTGAAATAAGAAAAATTAGGAGAGACAGGAAAGGAAGTCATTCAGACAAAAAATCATACCGAGCCACCTGAAAAAAATTTTTTTTTCAGTTTTATATATTTAAGAAAAAATTCAGTCTAGAATACACTTGTATAAAAACACCAAAAGAATTACTTGAAAAATTCACCCGGAAAAGCATATTGCCCTGGTCATATTAAGGCAACCGAATGTTGGGCAAGGAAGATTCCGGTCAACTATACATGGGAGGAATGTGTGGAATCTATGGCTGCCGTACAGTGTAACAATCGAGGACAAGCATTTGTTCTAAACGGGACAGTAGCGGACAGCCTAAAAAAAAAAGTGAAAGCCATTTACCACTCCCTGTAACGCCGAATTGAAGCGCAGCTCTTGAGGAGGAGGAGGGAAGGGTACTGAGGGCCAGGGTTTCTCGGGGGGGGGGGGGTCACGTGGCATAGGAAAAAGGGTCACGTGACCCCCCCCTCGAGGGCACGTGACCTTGTTTGGGTCACGTGACATCGGGGAGGGGGGTCCACGTGGAGGGGGAATCACGTGCCCCCCCGAAGTCACGTGACCTTGGGAGGGGTCACGTGACCTGGAGGTGTCACGTGACCTCGGGGGAGGAGTCACGTGACTCCCCAGGTCACGTGACACCCAGGTTTGCGTGACCAAAACTTCCCCGATAAATCTAGCGGAAAAATTTCCCCGCTTAATTTAGCGGAAAAATTTCCCCGCTAGATCTAGCGGAAAAATTTCCCCGCTAAATCTAGCGGAAAATATTCCCGCTAAATCTAGCGGAAAAATTTCCCCGCTAAATAGCGGGAAAAAATTCCCCGCTAAATCTAGCGGGGAAATTTTTCCGCTAGATTTATCGGGGAAGTTTTTTTCGCTAGATTTAGCGGGGAAATTTTTCCGCTAGATTTAGCGGGGAAGTTTCCGCTAGATTTAGCGGGGAAATTTTCCCGCTAGATCTAGCAGGGAAATTTTTCAGCTAGGTTTAGCGGGGAAATTTTTCCGCTAGACTTAGCGGGGAAATTTTCCGCTAGAATTAGCGGTGAAATGTTTCCGCTAGATTTAGCGGGGAAGTTTTTTCGCTAGATCTAGTGGGAAAACTTTTCCGCTAGATCTAGCGGGTAAATTTTTCCGCTAGATTTAGCGGGGAAATTTTTCCGCTAGATTTAGCGGGGAAATTTACCCACAATGCACCGCGCGGTTACGCCGACGGCGACACCGACGGCGACGGCGACGCTGACGCCGCTCAAGCCGGGAACGGGTGGCTAAAAGCTGCGCTCTAAAATATAGCGCGTGGCTAGACCCAAGCATCGCATTATCCTTTGAAGTTAAAGAGACAAAGGCATGCACCAAAAAAAGGCCGGAGAACGAATCACAAAGCAAGACGCGTTAACGTCATAAGCCACGCCCCGGACGTCCTAAGCGGTCAATAGGGAGTTTTAGTAGACCGTATTTCCCCCTCCGCTAGCTCCGCTACGATGAAACCGCCACTGCGCCTGCGCGCCGATGGCCTTGGCTGTAGAGTTCCGGGTAGCGGAGGGGCTGAGCGGAGCGGGAAACGCGGTCTACTAAAACTCGCTAATGTCCTAAGCTCAGACCCGAAAACGCTGTAGATTTTATATAGTAGAAAGCCGAACTATATAGTCGGAAAGAGATAACGACTACATCACGTATCAACACCAGTTGCGTCAAAACATAGAGCTAAACGGGTACTTTTTGGCACGAATGATGAATAGGTGGTTCCTCTAGTTTAAAATATGTTTGTGCTTAATAATTGTAGGACGATGTACGACGTTCGGAAGAACTCATTATTGGTTTTTTTTTTTCTTCTTCACCGCTTTGCAGTTGTTTTTTTTTTGTTTTTTTTTTTTATGGTCAATATATTTGGTATATGAGTCTGCACAATGTCCAAGAGATGCACATAAATGTTCAAAGATGCAGTGCGAGTCAGAACTGTAACACAAATGTTTAAATAATTTCTCGCTGCGCCTGAGCATTATTTATTCATTACGAAGGCAACCTGAGCCAGTGGCTTCGAGGTTTTCTACTGAGAGAACTATATATGCCCCGATACTATCCATAATCCAATACATAATACGAAGAACCAACATGAAGAAGAATTTAAAAATATAATAGTTTAATTAGCGAACTTCACAAATTTTAGTGGTTCGAGACAATCTTCATTGCCTTATAAAAAAAATTAACTACCGTTGCTCTGCGCCCCACATCTATTTGAATTAGATATATTGAATTAGAAAACTATTGAAGAAAGGTGGATAAAACAATGTCCTTTATGTGCAATCTGGCAAAAAAAGTATGTTAGACAACCATGACCAAATCTTAACTTGTCCTTGAGTTTTTCATCGAGAAAAAATCAGATAATACGTCATGTGCTTTCTTCATATTGTCATATAAGATTATGGAATATGGGTCGCATTAGTGCACATGGTATTTTAAAATAGGTAAAATTGATAAGTAATTGTTTATAGCTTTCCGGAGCTTCTAGCTTATTTAGTTTTACAACCATTTACAAGGTTTACTTCCCCACGAAGTTAATCGGTGGACACATTGAACAGGTTACCTATCATTTCTTTTTTCTTTCGCACAAGCTCTGAAAATGTTTATATTTATTTACTTGAACCGCAAAAATAACAGGAGGAAACTCACCATACGGGCTGTGTTCCCAGCCAACGACGAAAGCCTGGATACCAGTCACGTTCATCATGGAGATTTCCCCAAGGGGCAGGCATATGGGCCTCACGAACTGGCTGAAGGGTACCTCCTTACTCAGCTCTAGCAGGGCTACATTGTTGTTGTACGTTCTCCCATTGTAGCGGGGATGTCTGTGAATAGTCTCCACGTCCACGTCGATTGCATGCGTGTCGCCATCAGTCGAACGCAAGTCAACGTCGCCCAGACGCACGCTGAACAGCCCCACCGGACGCCTGCACAGAAATAGGATGCCTCCAAGTTTATTCGGTCGGACTAGAGCGTCAGACTTAACTTTGCTTCGCTAGCTCTCCAAGTACTGGACGAATTTCGCTCTACAGAGCAGAAGTGAAGGAGAGGAAAAGATGACGCGCGGTGAGAGAAATTGATCACGTGAACGACGAAGCTTCGTCTCCGCAACTGCTACTCGGCTGCGATTTCTTCATTAGTTGGAAGACATCTGATATTGTTAGTAAACAAAACTAAAGTTCCTTTGACATATTTCGTCACCACCTTCTCGAAGTTTTAAGTCCTCGATCACATAAAACCGGTGTATTTCAGAATGTCGCAGTAAGGGTAAGGCAGTCATTGCTACGAGTAGCAGACGACGCTGCGTTCGCCACCCGAACGCCAGGCCCTGACCACTGCTCCCTTTGCGCTAGAAGACGACGGTTTTGCTTTCTCTGACTTGGGGGGATGGGGGAAGGATAGCGGGTGACCGGAAAGGCTGGCTGCATTTGTCTACTCACTGTATCAATGTGTGTCGTTGGGTCACTCTAATGCCTCATTCACACAGGCGGTTGAACCGCGTTCGCGAAGCATTTGCGAACGTGGTTGTTTGAAGGATCAGTGCAGTTTCACGCGCACTTGATGATGAAAATGAGCGCCTTCGCTTAGTCGTTGCGCTTTGAACGCCAGTTCGTATGCAGCATAAGGGGTGTTTATCAAGCGTGAGAAGTCCTCCGCAAAACGCTAAGACAGCTCCTTAAGCGATGTTTGATTTTTTTAATGCTACACTGTTAGCAAGTCCCGTGTATTTGGCGAATATTTGGGGTGAAAAACACGCCATTTACACAAATTACCATAAATTTACACGATGAGTAACGAATAATTCGTTCAGAAATCATGCGAGGTTGTAAAAAACGTGTTTTAGTTCGGTCATACACGCATAACCGTGTAGCCGACCTCGAAAACACGCATCGCCCCCGGCGACGACCGCGGCATTGCCGGCTATCGAAGCACCGGAATGCTTGGGGACACACTTAGAAAGGACCGTCGAGACAAATGACGCGGAAAGAAACATGTCTCGGAGACAGATATGCACCAAAAGCAATTGCGCCATGTCGCAGGACGTTGGCGAAACCCACGCTTACCGGGCTCGCCGCCATCTTCTGGTCGATGGCAATGCGGCTTGCTTCATGTCGCCCATGTTTGTATTTAGTTTAGGGGTCCTGATAACAGTCTCTTAGACACCACAAATAAAGTTATGGGTCTAATTATTCGTTCCAAACAGTTAAAATGGATATAAAAAGCGTGTCCTCGATGTGGACACGTGACATTGCAGTTGGTTTCGTTTTTGCTTCAACCTTCAACTGCAAGCGATCTGGCGATCTGGCCACGGCGCAAGCGCAACGCCGATGTACGCTGGAAGCAAGCGCCGGTCGGCTTTCGTTGTTTTTGTTTGACCGGAGAAAATCTGGCAAGTACGCATGGCGCCGCTACTGTTTTGGTTTGACGGGACGCGAGAAGCTTCGCATAGAGCTTCGGAGTTTGCGAGCACATAGTGAAGACGTGACCGGAGAAGTGCCCCTGTGATGTTCCTGGAAGACGGAAAGTAGCATTCGTAATCGTCGTGTGTGCTTTGAAAGCGAAGGGAGTCACGGGGTCCACGAGTTCGCAACCACAAGCCAAGGTTCACGACAGCGCGGCGTTGACTTCGGCGATCTCGTTCTGTTTGGTGCAACCCGGCGATGCGAAAAAGAGCTGCGGTGCTGTGTATTCCGGGTCTGTTTGAACCACGCTTTTAACATGGAGCGCAAATTGTTATTTGCGTGGTGGAGGTTCAACGGGTACAGTCCCGTCGTCGTCAGCTGATCCGGTCCAGCTGGTCCGGGAGGACGCAGCGAGCGTTTTTAAAAGTAAATCTTCCCTCGTTCCGTTTCGAACTGTGGAAGTATCCCGACACAAACCGTGAGTAAGAAGCAGCGGGCGTTTTCAACCAAATTACGTTGTTTTAATTGAATAATGGACTCCAGATTGTTGTCTTAAATCTGCCGTTTTTTATGCTTCGTGTTGGACTGCGTTTGCATAGCGACGCACACCGCTCGAGTATGATTCGGTCCTGCAACGAGTTTGTTGCGGCAATCATGCGGCGTGAATAAATAAGGGCAAGGTTTCCTACCTGCCCACAGATGCATGTACTGAGACCATTTCTTACGTAGTGACCGCTTTTTCTTTATTTTGGGAAGAGGCGTTGGTGCATTTATTATGGTACAAACACTTGAGAGTTGAGAAATTAGAGAGCGAGCAAGCTTTCTCAACTTTGTCTCTTTCTCTCTGGCACTGCCCTGTTTCAGTTTCAGTAGGCATATCTATACTAGCAGGTACAAACTGCTCTAAAGCAGGTAAAAAACGGGAAGCTTAGGACGGTGCGGACTCCGTGTTTCGCGCTTTTCGCAAGGTGACAGGGTAAATGCTTTTGTGAGATATGCGGAATATGCAAGCGATTTTGTTACGCCCGTCGTTTGCGTCTCTCCAGCAAAACGAATAAGATGATCTACTACAAAGGCGCAATCACAAGCCAAGATTTAAGATAGCAGTCGTTTGCTTCGGTGATCCGTGTAGCTGTATTTTACCCTGCTCTCTGCAACACCGTGTCATGACGAAGAGCTGGAATGGTCACGGTTTGTGCTGGCCTCCCGGTTGACAGAAACCCCCGTCGCCCGCATCGGCACCGAGTGCGCTTGGGCTGTTGATGCTCCAGCCTTTCATCCGCGGCTTGTCGCCAGCTCATCCTGCTGCTCAACGGTGAGGAAGCGGCGAGAGTAACCTCGGAAGTGAATGTAAATCATCGTTCATTCAGTTATCCGGTGTCAAAGTGTGGAAGATGTCCAACGTGTACTGAGGGCGGGAACTACGAGCGTTTTGCCTTGCTTTTATAACCGAAACCAGAACAACGAGATAACTTCTAGAGTACGCTTCAGAAGTTTGGGATCCCCACCAGCAGTACTTGATAAATAGTATAGAACTGATACAAAACAGAGCCGCCAGATTTGTCCTTAATGCATACTCGCGTGGTCAAAGTGTAACTGCCATGAAACGCGATCTTAACTGGCAGCCTCTACTGAATCGTCGTAAATGCTTCCGCCTGAAACTCCTTCACAGCATATATTACGATCAGTGTGGAATTGACAAGATGCGTTATTTACTTCCACCTCACTTTATCTCTCGGCGCCTGGATCATAGTAGAAAAATTAGGTCTTTTTCCAGCAGAACAGACATTTACAAATACTCATTTTTTCCTTGTACAATACTCAACTGGAACAATTTACCTGAAGAGATCGTCTCAACAAGCGTAAGCTATCAATTTTATCAGGCATTGTCAGATTCTTAAAACCTGTTATTTCTACAAACTTCAGCTTTTTCTATATATATTCACGAGTGCAGTGTCTAGTTTTACGCTGGTTTGGGTTTACGTTTGTCTTTATTTTCATGTTGATTTCTCCTGGTAAGTCACATTTTGAGTTTTGACTGTTTAGGCAATTTAAGTGTTCTTTGGCGTCATGTTCATTTTGTATTTGCCCCTCCCCCGCTATAATGCCCTCACGGGCGCTGTGGGGTTATTTCAATAAACAAATAAACTGCCTTGCGTACTCTGAAATGACGGAAGCAATAAGTTTCAACAGGTCGAGTACGTCACCGGGGATGTAGGCGAGACGGTGCACACTGTTTAAACGCTTGCAGTATCCACGAGTGGTACCAGGAAGGCGACGTCAACAGAGAAGGAGCTCGCGATTCAGCATAAAACACTGCTACGGGCCCGTGTATCTTCAAAGTTCGGGGTGGTGGCAGTATAAAAAAAGACGCATCAGCGCCCCACACCAGTGTTCACGAATAACACCGGTCACAAACTCCCAAGCCCCACCGCTCTTCTCGACACCGACACGACATACGACAACAAACTGCATCAAAACGCCCCAAAAGTGAAGGCGTCTGCTCCCGTAATGCAACTGCTGCAACTAGCGGAAGTGAAGTGTTGGGCGGATGTCCGGATGTCCTTCACAAAAATATATAAAAAATGCTTTGCGCAAGGATCATTTTCATTTATTATTGTATACGTAATGACAAAATCCCAATAATTTGTTTTTCTATCTGATTCATGCTAATCGGACTGCTCATAACACTGGTCAAGCAAGAAAATAACAAAAATTTGAACTTTTTCATCACCGGTTTAAGATTTATTATTAACATATCATTATTTATTGCAACGGACTAGCATTATAGATTTTGCCTCCATACTTTTTAAATGCAAACAGTTCTAACACACGGCTGTCCATTGCGCCGTGTTTTGTGTATTCTTCTATAACTATGTAATGGTCAGTGACCAAGGAGCTCACCCGCAGATGTCAAGGTTATATGCGCCGCGGGGAGAAATGGATATCGAGTAGGAAGTGTCGGGCGTTGTGTCGGTTGTTGTGTTTGTGTATATGTCGGTGCCGTGTAGCTGTGTGCTGTGTTGCCTGCGTTGTATGTAGGGTTGCTGTGTGGCCGTGGTCGTTCCCAGTGTTAACAGACTCGTCTTTTTTTTAAAAACAGGCTGCTAGAAATCTCGATAGGTGGCGCAAGTTACCGCCCGATTCTAAATAGTTTGCTCAAGTTATTTATCCATGTGAGTTCGGCATTCGTTTTTTTATTTTTTTGTCTAGCGGCTCGTTGAAGCTATTGACGCCGCCGACCGCCGACAACACACGTACGTACCTTTGCAAGTAGCTACGTCCGCCGCTTGGAGACTTTACTGTGTATAAAAGACATCGAACGAGAACTAACGCGCCCTGTGTGCTTTCAATTCGGCTGAAAGGCGCGCGGCTCGCTGGGCTCGTCTCTCGCCTGTTCTCGGCCGCTGGCCGCCATGCTTCATAAGGAACACGCTCGAAACGGTTTTGCGGAAGGCAGACACGGTGTAGCGTGTTAAGTTTACACAGCACCTCATGTGTAGACGAAAAACACAGATGGCCTCGTGTAAAACGAACACGTTTCGACGTGTCCGCTATGGGACAACGGTTTACACGTCTGGGCGTGTTATTTTTGCTAACAGTGTATAGTTGCGGCCATCGTGGAGCCTCTGGTTTCAGAAGGCATTGTAGAAGAACGTGCAGAATGTAGCTGATGAAGAGCAACAAAACCACTAGGAGCTCCAACTTCAAGTTCAAGTCGTCTTGCCTTGCACCATAGATTGAAGTTGACTTTTAATGCGGAAGCATTAACGCTCCCGTGGACCGAAGCCGGCGTTGTCTGTAACACCGTAAAACGGCCCCTAAAGTCCAATTGACTGAGTGTAACGGCGCCTAAATTCCCATTGGCTGAGCGAAACGGCACCTAAATTGCCGTCATCAAGCACGCGCCTCAGAAATAAAACACAAAGAAAAGCACAGCAACGCAGATGCTTCGTCACGAAAGCCTTCGTGAAGCAGGCGGGGTTCGCCGCGCCTGCGCAATGGGGGAGCGTGATGTCACCGCCGAGCGCTGTGTGAAAAAGAAAGACGTAGCGCGCTCCTTGTAGGAATGCGCTTTGTGTAGGAATACTTCCGGATTCCTACACGTGAGCAGTCCTAAAGGCTCTGTTATACTCCGACGTAACGCGCGCACAAGCGAACGCTGGCCGAAGTCGGCTACGTCACGTCAGTCACGCCGCGCGGGTCAAAAATTCGCCCTTTTTATACTCCGGCGGCCCTCGCGACTTCGCGGCGCGCGTCGGTGAGCCGCCAGCGCGGTGCATGCGCAGCAGAATCTGGCTCCGAAGGCGCGTTTCCTGCGAGAGTGCGCCATTTCCGGTTCCTTTTCGTTTCGAATAGCAGACGAGAATTGTCGCGCTTCTTGAGCGCCAAGTTCGAACGATGGCGTGGACGTACCTTGCACGACGAAAACTCGCCCTTGCACTGTTGGTGCATCGCCTGCCCCGCAAGCGTAGGCGGCCAATGTACATGGCGGTACATCTTTGACAAGCGCACGGTCTACGGTAGTCAAGCTTCCTCGTGTCGTAGACACACGGGTGAGGACGAATTCCCTCGATCAGCTTCTCGACGACCGAGACGTCTGATTCTTCAAACATGACGCCGCACGGAGTGGTGCTCCCGTCGCCTGCTATTGCTCGTATTCGCCGCGAGGGCTACCGGGAGCCAGCGCGTGATGCATCCTGGTCCGGCGTCGCTGGCGCGGCCGGCGCCGAATACGGCATGCTCCATTTTGGCGTCGAGGCGGTCAGGCTGCGTCGAACGCCGCCGGTCGCGTCGGTTACGCCACGACGCCGGAGTATAGAGCGTCGGGTTTTCGCCGACGAAACGTCGCTGTGACGCGCTCGCACCTGCCGCACGCGTTACGTCGGAGTATAACAGAGCCTTAAATCTCTCTGCCTTATTTTTTTTTTCTTTGTTATTTTTTTTTTGTATTATGGTGTTAGTACAGTAACTGACAAGATGAAGGCAGAATAACTTCTGCCTCCCCCCCAACCTCCCACCCTTGCTTAAAAGCGCCGATACTGTGTTCGCGCTTATAGTGTCAAAAAGTGTACATAAATGCACGTATGAGACAATTTCGTTACCGTTTTAAATGACATGACGTTGAATGATAAACCACATAAATGATCAGTATTTTTGTATACGTGAGTCAGGAATGCTCCAAGTAATTTATTCCGTAAAAGTTCTTTCTAACACTTGCCTTCATAATCAAGCGCAGAGAAAAGATGTGCCCACTTTTTTCTCATACACTCTAAAAAAAGCCCGTTCGTCAACTTTCCCGCACAACACTCTGAGATCCAATCACCGCAGCTTACGGAGGCAGCTCAGCAAATGACGATGCCGAAACATAAGTTTAGACCAAAAAACGCAGTCTGAGTTGTTACATTAAGCAATACAAGCGTGACGCTTTGCATTGCTTAATGTCACAACTCAGACTGCGCTTTTTGGTTTAAACATATGTTTTGGCATCGTCATTCGCTGAGCCGCCTCCGTAAGCTGCGGTGATTGGCTCTCTGAGTGTTGTGCGGGAAAGTTGACGCGCGGTTTTTTTTTTTTTTTTTTTTTTTTAGAATGTACGAATGCATTATCGGACGTCAACTTCAGACTGGTTGCGGTCTGCTTTAATTTAAAACAGCGCACTAGCGCCAGCTAGTGCGCTGTTTTAAAATTGACAGCTGGGACAGCTGTCAAAGGTACAGCTGTGCCAGCTGTACCTTTGACGTGTTATCGTGGAAACGGCTGCGCATGCGCGGAGCATGAGCATGCAACACAGATGCGCAGGGCGGGGGGCTCGCTTTTCCAGTGGGCGATCACACCCCAACTTGGTCGTCTACTAGGCACAAAGCAGACGACACCAAAGTGCTTTCCGATGCCAGCTACGTCCATGATAGCGCATTATAATAGATATATGGTCTGACAAAGCGTTGTGGCCGTTACCAAAAAGTAACGAAATAGCGTTACTCGCACGTTTGTCAAAAATTAACGCGTTACTAAGATTCGTTACCGTCCAGAAAATGTGAAGAAATACCGTTATCGTTACTTCCAAATCTAACGAAGTTTACTTTTGCAGTACTTTAAACTTCAGTATGTGGTACCGCAACGGCGCAGTTACAGGCTTTGACAGCATTAAAATTTTTGAAGATAGATTTGGCAATTTTTTTTTTCGTTTCGCGAAGTTTTAGAATGTAGCGCGGCCCCGATGTGCGTTAACTATTCAAAAAGACCGAAAACGTTATTAATTTTAGTCAAAATCATCGAGCAACTTAATTTGATAAACAGTACCATAAAATAGTAACGAAACTACTCTACTTCTGTGTTGTTTTGGGATCTAACGAGGACATCAGTTTCTGAAAAAAGTAGCGCGTTACCAGTAACGCTCATACCTATAACGCTTCGCTCCCCAGACAGGGATTCTGCCGTCACCACCCTACACATGAAGGCACTTAGGACTTACGGCGTTCCTCGACTGCCGGCGACGCATTGAGCCGTCGTGATGATGTACCTCGGAGATATGAGGGCACCCCCGCAGATTACTTTCTTCTCCTTGCCGCTCTCCTGGAGATATATGGCCGCCTGCACGCATACAAGGAGGCAGGCGTATTCGCTGACAGGTTTATTCGTAAAAAATTACAGGATTCAGTGCCGAGTATTTTTCGGGTAAACGCAAAATAGAATTTTTGATAAAGTTTTTCTTCCCGTGAGTGAGGCTTCTGTTTTTCAACTTCAACTTCTATTCGGAGTTTTTTTTTTTTTTTTTTTTTTTTTTTTTCTTTAAAGGCCCGTTCACACTCTTGCGACCTCTTAAACCTGGGTTCCTTAAAACTTCTTAAACCAGAAAACACACTGGCGCCATATATTGAGAAGCAGTGTAAACTCGGCGGTCCGGCATATTTTTTTTTATTTCTCGCGCATTCTCCTTTCTTTCTTGGCTCGAAAAACTTTTGTCAATGTTATAAACGAGCCTTTCTATGGGTATTACGCACATTTGACCTCGGAAATCCCGCAAAACCTTCGCTCTTGTGAAATGCAGTTCCAGGGTCAGCGCATAGATGGCGCCATAATGCCAGTTTGTTCTCTTATTTTAAAAACATTTAACAAGTTCTAAGAGAACTCGTCTCTCTCAGTCGTACTCGGTCGCACTCGGTCGCAAGAGTGTGAACGGGCCTTAATTCTTATAGAACCGGCTCAAGGTTTAGTTTACCGGGTTTATTAGTGTATATTAAAAGGCGAAAAGCACCTCCGCCTTAGCTTTAGCGGGGTGCATGGTGCGCTAAAGCTACTGCTTGTGCAACAGGCGCAAGGCTGGCGGTACGAAGGCGCAGATGATAAGAAACGAAAAAAACGCGCGATCGCGTTTTCGCATTTCCAGGCTTGCTCCTGTTGCGCGAGTGGTAAATTTTAGTGTTGTCACAAAACTCAACATACGTATTTAAGATTAGATGCCACAACCCATTCGGTAATGTATTTAGAGTAGTATTCGAGTTACTTTTAGAATGAACTATGTTGAGTAGAGTACAAATACTTTGAAAAAGACATTGAATTATATTCGAAGATACTTGGCAAGCTTTGCGAGCGGGCAATATAAGAATTGAAAGTCAAAAAGGCGTTCTCCATTTTTGATGACTTCTCTGAAAATCGCATTTATCTGTGGTCTTTATTACTTTGAAGAAGCTCCCTAGTTGCTGCAACTGAAGTTTACTCTTAAATAATTCGGTATTTACAACATAATGCGCGCCAAAATATTTCGGGAACAAACGGGACTGACGTATTGTAGACATATTACCTGCTGTGCTTTAGTTTGGCGGCAGGCTCGGCTCATGACGCATTCCGCAATAAGTTCGTAATATTACCCGCTACGATTTGGGGGACTTGGCACGTTGTCTGGGATTGCATATCCGTAAGAGCTGATCTAAACGTTGATCAGGCAGCCAGACTTGTTGGTGAATAGGCGAGTAAACGATACACGTGCAGGCTCAGAAGAAACATCGCATTCGGGGACAGAAGCCGGCAAGTACTTTATCCTCTCAGTCAAAGGCGAGGATCACTAGGAAACAGGAAACACAGGGTGTCCACAAAACCGCTTCTAAACTCCCTTCTCCTGCCCCCTTCTGCATCAGTTCAAACCGTTTTCGATGCATTGAGTTCAGGATGGTCCAAGAATCTAGAATCAAAATTCACTTTAGTCGGTGACAGGTCAAGAACGAAGTGGAAGCTCCTCCCACCCCTTTCCACTTCAGCCGAGCGAACGGTGGAGAGGAGGTCGTCTCCTCTCCACCGTTCGTTCCACTAAAGTTGAAAGGGGTGGGAGGAGCTTCCACTTCGTTCTTGAACTGTCACCGACATAAATGGCTCCATTTAGCGGAAAGCTGTTCTTTTTTTTTAATTTTGAGGATGAAGTTATATGCGCATTTGGAAGGAGATGAAAGAAACGCCCTTGAACAAACTTCGGAGTAAACGTTAAGCCACAATGGGCACATAAGGAGATTGGGGGAACCCCAGTCTAGGTCACTGCAGCTCAATAAAGCCAGCAGGATCTACACTCCGTTCAGCCTTAAAAGCAAATTACCAGACACAAGATTCTGCAAGGAAGAAGATTCTCCTCACCCTGGGGGAGGAGGAAAGAGGAGACGGTAGACAGGGTAGAAAGGAGAGAGGAGGAAGCGGGGGGAAACTGAAAAGGGCGAACTGGTCGTTGGTCTTTAAGCTGAGACTGCTGTCAGTGCCACCAGCACGAGAGCTCGAGGGTGCTGCTTTGAAGCGAACTTCCGCAAAACGGGCGCTCGCTAAAGCTCTGCACGGGGCTGGGCCAACAAGCCCGGGCCCGGCCTGAGCCTGGTAGCGCAGTTGTGTCGGCGTACGGGCCAGGCCCAGGCCGGGTAGCGCAGATTGTTTCCGGGCGCGGGCCAGGCTCAGACATAGGTGTAGCACACTTTCTAAAACGCCAAGAAAAGGCTAACGCATTGATCGTTTAGATTTGAAAGAAACAAAAAAAGCCGAAGTGCTAACTCGTAACCACTCCCCTGCAAAAAAAAAGGACATATTATAAATAAGAAAAATGTCTTGGACTAAGAAAGTCCACAAGATACGGAGAATCCTAGCGATTTTGTCAGCATAGTGTTACAGCTGTCAGCAGTCAAGAAAACAAGGGCAATCCGGTCGCACAGGACAGTACGATTTTTTTTTCATTTCCCTTTTTAAATTTTACAAAATACAAAAAAAAAAGATAAACTATGTCTTTTATATTTCTGTAAACTTTCAAATGTTCCCCACGTGACTGCGATATGACAGCGTCTTTCATGCAAATTAGTAAACGAATCAAATGCACGAACAACTTCCCAGGGCAGCTTGTCTGTCCTGAGAAGCTGCTAAAAAATAATGTCTTAAAGCCAGGAGAGGAGGTTAAAAAAGAGGTTAGCAGCCCCAGACAGAACTATAGTCCGCTGCAACTCAAGAAGGCAAGGAGAGGGTAAGACGGGCCGGGGAGGAGGAAGCAGACGGAACGCTAAACAGAGAAGGAGGCTTCCCCCTCTCTTCTCCAGCGTTCCGTCTGCTTCCTCCTCCCCTGCTCTATCTTACCCTCGCCCTACCTTTTCAGTTGCAACTGACTATAGCTAGGGTACCCCTCCATAACGTCGAACCAGTGCACTCGAATCTGAAAAACAGATCGACCTCCAGCTTTTCGAAAGTTCACAAAACTTAATTTATTTTTCATTACTGAATACTGAAGTGAAAGACAAAAGGCAATATCACTACATGTGATCATAGCAATTGAGAAGTCCTTCCGCAGTTGAAGGACATCTAAAACCGTGGTAACTCTGTTCAATGCAACTACAATGTGCCAGGGTTAGGGTGACCAGGTCGACTGTGGTGCCACATGTATTCTTCGGGGATGCAACGGTTCAACTCCGCCCGGACTCTCTGCGGCCATACCCGGGGAAAAACCAAGACGAAGAGAAAAGAATTTTCAACTGCCGTATAAGCCGAGCAAGGTAAGCTGATTCACACAAGAGCTATCTTCCATTGTACATTAAATTAAATGTTTTACTTCTACAGGAGGTGTGTGGAGAACAATTTTGGAGTCATGGCTTCCAGGTTCCGAATTTTCCGCCGCACAATCAACTTGCTGCCAGAGAATGCAGAATATTTGTAATGACGACCTGCGTCCTCCACAACTCCCTCAGGGAGTACTCAATCTATGTGTCACAAAGCTGCGCAGATAGCGAAGATGCCTAAGGCAATGTCAAGGCGGGCCAGTGGCGCGAGATCCTTAAAGGGCAACTCTGGTCCATGCTTTCGATTTTGGGATTACGACTGTTTAGTGCAGTCAGCGTCCCTGAATTGCAAGGTGTAGTTTTTTCCTCGTTATTGTGCGTAGTTTTAAAGATATCTACGCCTTAATGTTTTGTTTGGGAGCGCGGCCAACAAAACCGAAACTTGCCACTCGAGGCTCGGGCAACACTGGAAATCAGCTGGGGTGGTTCTCGTTTGAACCCGTTCGCATTTCTACCTTCTCGTTTTCACCTTCTCATTTCAACCCAGCGCAAAACAACTTTCGCGTTTCTCCCTTTCTCATTTAAACCGTTCTCAAAACAAACTTTCGGGTTTTGACCCTTCTCAAAACGACTTTTCTCATTTTAACTTTTCTCATTTCAAATTTTCTCAAAACATACTTTCTTGTTTTGACCATTGTCAGAAAGACTTTTCTCATTTTAGCCTCTTTCATTTCGAACCCAAATTAATCCAACATCATGATCTCGCAATCTTTCTGCGGTATTTATGGCGAATTCGGGTAATTAATTGCCTTCGAGCCCTTGCCTGTGGCACCGGCGACCAAAAACGCGTCAGCGGCGCATCACGTGAGCCTCTCCACCCGAATGCAAAGCACAATGAACTGGCGTTTTTAATTGACTGGGCCGCGAGTGAGCTCTGTTAGCTTCTTCGATCATTCTATGGTACCATGAGCACGCTGCATACGTCAACAACATAAATTACGACTCTTTGAGATGTGTGTAAACAGAAGCGGCTTCACAAATTTTTAAAAATATTGGCATTACCACTGTCCGTACAGCTGACAGAATATGAAAATATAAAATCAATGAAAGGGCAGATGTATAAATCAGTGTGGTGCTGCCCGCACGCACGTCAAATTTCAATAAACTTCGTTTGGATTTTCGATTAACAGTTGCCACGGAGGCTTGCCAGCGTCGCTTTCCATATTCTGTTTACTGTTGGTAGAGAGTTTTGGTAAATCGTTCCCATGACTCCGATAACGATACCAGATACTCCGCCACCGCCTCCCTTGCGCATGCATAGTATCGTTATCGGGGCTACCGGAACGATCTACTAAAACTCTCTAGTACCTTTTTTGGAATCCTGTCTTCTCATTGCACCCACCCTCCTTGAAATTGTAATGCGTGTTCAAGTTTCAAACTGCATCACAATGTATCCTTTTTTTTCAGCGGTGTAATAACTTGTTAATACAGAGTTGCAAAATAAAGTGATGTATGATGCAGCCCGTGTCTCAGAGCAAACATACCTTGCTCAGGGGCTGGATAAATTCTTCCAAAAATGTT